CCAGGGAGATGGGGCTGAGCCAAGCTGAGGGCCCCGGAGCGAGGCTGACAGGGCGGGGGGGGGGGGAGGTGACTAGGGCACTAGCTGGGGACCGGGGTCAGTTCCCAGCTTTGCCACAGACCCCCTGGGGTGCCTTGGGAGGATTTCGAGGGGACCATGTGGGCAGGTGGACAGAGCGGGGGTCTGCTCTGCGCCGTGACCAGCAACTGCCGGGGGCAGGGGGAATGACACTGTCTTTTCTGCCTCCCACGGACTCCAGATCAAATGTGTGCAGTTTACAAAACGCCGGCACTAGCCCTTCTGCCTCTCGATCTCCAAGGCAAGGCAGCCTCCCTGTCCCCACTGTATCAACAGGGAATGAATCGGCCACCCAGGGCTCTGTCCAGGGACCAGCCTTTTCCCTCACTCCCACCATCTCCATCCCCCAGGAGCTGAGAGTCAAGCTGGGTTTTCTCGCTGGCTTGTAACCAAAGGCCAGATCCTCAGCTGGTGTCAATCGGAATTGACACGGGCACAGCCGATTGAGACGAGCTGGGGATCCGGCCCTGAGATCCAAGCCCCACGTGGGTCGGCTCCCATCTGGCCGGGCTCCTACCGGTCAGCTCCACGTGCATGTCCTCATCCTGGCTGGTCAGGGCGTTCTGCAGGATCTTGGCCGTGCAGATCACCACGTCGCTCAGCTTCACCTCCTTGGCGAAGAAGAATTTCTGGTCGCTGTCGCTGCTGATGGGCGTGACCCGGAAGCGATCCTGCAGGGCCTGGAATTCCTGCGTGTAGTGCTGGTCCACCAGGTGCACCTGGCCACCCAACACGCAAGAGACGCCCTGTGAGGCGGAGAACAGGGCCTGGGGAGAGCCCCGGCTGCTGAGCTGAGCAACCTCCCATGGACAACAGAGGCAAAGCTGCGCAGCGCCCTGCCCAGCCCGACCCAGCCGCACCCTGCCTGTCTAGGGGGCTCCAGCGTAGAGCAGGCGTTTGGGGACCCTCCCTCCTTAGCATGGGTCATCGGCAGGTTTTGAACCCAGCACCTTCAGCACAACTAACGGGTAATGCCATTAGCTAGCAGCAGTAGTAGGCTGTTATCCTCCCACATGGACCAGCTGTGCAGAGAGCACAGCACACAGTGCTGGGGTGCCATGGGGGAGGATGGGTGGCCACGAGGCCTGGCGCTGGCCACGCTGGGACTGAGCCAGCTCTCGGCTGCCTGGGCAGAGGGCGAGGTGGGCATGTTTTGCCCACTTGCTTTCCCACCCCCTGCGTGAACACAGCTCCCCCACCTGGCGTCAAGTCCGCCCCCTTGAGACCGTGAGGCCAGCCTGATGCGGGTGACTAGCCCGACTGCCCGCTGCCCCCGCAACCACGCCTGGCACATGGCGACCACCCAACGAACATGGGAACTCGGCCACAGTTCCTCCGTAGCACGGCTGTGTGCAAAGACCTGAAGGCCTGGGGTGGGGGCGGTTCCTCACTCTGGCTGGTCCCTCTCTGGCTGCAGCCCCAGCACGTCCAGCGTCCCCATCATGTCTGGCCGGGGACAGGCCGAGGGGAGCGCCAGGCAGGCCAGGCTGGGAGAATCAGCCCCACCCCGGCATGAGCCATTCCCCCCCCACCAGTGCAACTCCAGTCTCACCCTGTTCACCAGCATGGCCACCTTGGCCCGCTCCCGGGTCTCCAGGTGCCTCTTGCACACGTAGGCCGCTGCCCGGGTCTTCCCTGCCCCCGTGGGCAGCCAGATGATGATGTTCTCGCCCTCCAGGGCGGGCACGATCACCTCCCACTGGTAGTCACGCAGCTCCATGCGGGCGGGCACTGGGCACCTGCAGGAAGCACAGGGCCTACGTGAAGGGGGCAAAGCTGGTATCAGCATGGACCAAGCAAGAGGGGCTAGCCCCCTGCCCTGCCCTCCAACCCCTCCCCCTCTACACCCCTTACCTAGTCCCCAATCTGACCCCCTTCCCCATTTCCCAACCCCTTCCTGGGCTTCCAGCCTACCTCTCTCCACCCCCTGCCCTGCCCTGCTCTCCAACCCCTCCCCCACTCCAGCCCCTGCCCTGCCCTCCAACCCCTCTCCCTCTCCACCCCCTGCCCAGCCCCCAATCTGACCCCTTTCCCCATTTCCCAACCCCTTCCTGGGCTTCCAACCTACACCTCTCTCCACCCCCTGGCCTGCCCCCAATCCATCATCCCCCCACATCTTCCATCCCCTCTCCTGGCCTCATCCAATCTCCCCCCTCCCAGCTAGAGACCGGTCAGGTCAGACAGAGCCTGGGCCACTGAGTCACCCACCGCCCAGCGCTGCCCCCAGCCCCGCACCGTAGAACCTGGACCCGCAGGGTTAGCTCGTCTGACCCCCAGCACCCGTGAGTCTGGGCAGGCTGCCTGTGCCAGCCAGCGGCCCCCGGGGCACCCCCAGGCGGAGGGCAAGGGCAGGGGCGGGTGGCAGGAGCAGGCAGGCACTTCTCGCCCAGCAGCGCCCCTCTCCGCCCAGAATCACCCCGCTGGCAAACGGACCCGGGCGAGTCGCCTGCTCCCCCGTGGCCTGGCAGCTGCTGCCTCTGCCAGGGGATCTGCCCACCCCACCAGAGACCCCCAGAGCCTGAGAGCAAAACCCTTCAGGGGGGGCCCAGCCAGGGGGGGCCCAGCAGCTCCGCTCTCCGGATCCTGGCCGCCCGCTTCCTGCCAGCTGCGGCTCCGGGCTGGGGTGCTGGAACTGGGGGGGCTGGAAGGGGCTGCAGCACCCCCCCTCCTCCCCCCCGGCTTGAAGTGGTTTCCATTATATCCAGGGTTTAGTTTGTCTCAATGGCTCTTAGCACCCCCCCACACACACACATTATTCCAGCCCCCCTGCGCCGGACACGTTTAACCCCAATTACACTGACCTGGATCCGCGGCCCGAGACACGAGCCCAGCGCAGGGCTCGGCTACACCACACTGACTCCGCGGTCGGTCGCTGCGCCAGCTGGAGTCCCCCTCGGGGATCCCTCAGCCAAGCTGTCATAGACAGAAATCGAAACTGAATCCAGTGCTAGACACAGACACCAGGGCAGCCCCACCCCGAGCTCAGCCCCCAGGCAGGGCCTGCCCCCGCTGGCCCCAGGAGCAGACGGGCCAGCACTTTCCTGGGGGGGCTGGCATTAAAAAAGCAAAGTGAATGGTGGGACTCGTTAGGAAAGGGATCGATAATGAGCCAGAAAATATCATACTGCCTCTGTATAAATCCAGGGTACGCCCCCCCCCTTCAACAGTGCTGCAGACGTGGTCGCCCCAGCTCCAAAAACAGAGCTATTGGGATCGGAAAAGGTTCAAAGAAGGGCAACAAAAATAACGAAGGGTCTGGAACAGCTGCCGACTGAGGGGAGATTAATAAGACTGGGACTGTTCAGCTTGGAAAAGAGACGGCTAAGGGGGGAGATGATAGAGGTCTATAAATCCTGACTGGTGTGGAGACGGTAAATAAGGAAGTGTTATTGACTCCTTCTCATAACACAAGAACTAGGAGTCACCCAATGAAATTAACAAGCAGCAGGTTTAAAACAAACAAAAGGAAGTATTTCCTCATGTAACACAGAGTCAACCTGTGGAACTCTTTGCCAGAGGATGTTGGGAATGTCAAGACTATAACAGGGTTCAAAAAGGAACTAGAGAAGTTCATGGAGGACAGGTCTATCAATGGCTATTAGCCAGGATGGGCAGGGATGGTGTCCTAGCCTCTGTTTGCCAGAAGCTGGGAATGGGCGACAAGGGATGGATCACTTGATGATTCCCTGTTCTGTTCATTCCCTCTGGGGCGCCTGGCATTGGTCGCTGTCGGCAGACAGGACGCTGGGCTGGATGGACCTTTGTCTGACCCAGTCTGGCCCTGAATCGCAAGGAAACAAATAGCGGCAGTTTGGCTCCTGCCTCACCATTTCCCAGCCAGCCCCGTGCACCAGGCCACTGTCTTAGCTCCCACTCAGGTCCACGTTCTCCACTGCTTCTCCCACCGTTCTCCCGGCATTCTGCTCTCTCTCGCACACAGCTGCAACCAACCAGCCCTGGCCCCCTGCCTCTGCAAACAGGCCTGGGGGAACCTCTCAGACACCACCACTTAGCTCCAGCCTGTGGCCCAATGACATGGGTGGTGGCCTCCTATTGTTTCCAGCTATCACTACATGTTGGGGTATTTAATTGCTCCTCCGATGTAGCCTGAATGAAGGATGCCTTGGCCCAGCCATATTGGCCCGGCTGCTGTTTAGCGGCACCCGCCAGCAGAGATCTCTGTGCACAGTCACCGGCCGTCACCTTCGTCCTTAGGCTGCTGCACTTAGCCGCTCACCACGCGCAGCGGCTGCAGGATGCAGTGGGCGGAGTTCAATTCCTAGCTCTGCTTTGGCCCTCACGTGTGACCTTGGGCAAGTCCCGTCCCCGCGGCTCGGCTTGAGACTGGGAGCTCTGGGGCAGCACCTGGCACACCAGGGCCCTGAGCTCAGCTGGGGCCGGCTGCATGGTACAATAGACGGGCCCAAGACTAGCTGTACCCTCATCCCTCTTGGGGAGCAGCCAGCCAGGACTCGGGCTTCCACATGGCAGGCACTAACCCCACCCAGAGCGCAGCCCTGGCTGGCCTCAGCCGGTGGTACTGTTACCCCCACGCCCAGGCCTGCGTCCTAGCCCCGAGCAGCGCCACACTGAACTCTGAGCCGCCCAGGGGCAGCAGGCACCGTAGAGCACGTGGGGAGAGGGTTTGCTCCATGCCCTGGGCTCCCTGCTGAGTCAGGGCCAAGGGGGAGTTGCCCCCCCGGCTGCGTGTGTGAGAAGGGATCGCCTGGGAGGCTGCTTGCCCATCTCCAAGGCTGGCCCTCACTTCTTCCTGCTGCAGCTGGCCAGAGGTGGTGGCACTGCTGTTAGAGGAAGGGGTGACAGTCTGGCACACAGCAGAACCATGCTCATACCCGGGGGGGCTACCCACCCACAATGCCTTGCTGCTGTAGGGCCCAGGACACCAGGAGACAGACAGGTGCTTCACTGGGGCCATGTACATTTATTTAAAAAAAATAAAAATAAAGGAAAATAAAAATGAAAGGGGGAGATGGGAAGGGCCCACGGCAGCGCACGAGGGACAGGCCAGTGCATGGGGGGGAATAAGGCAACAGTGACCAGTCTGGGGGCAGAGTGGGGAACAGGACAGCAAAATGCTGCCGCGGCCTGCCTGTTCTTCTATCCGTTCCACTGCGGGGAGAAATCTTCGCTGCCTGCGTCTCGCGCCATCAGCCAGGAGCCAGAGAACGCCACGGGCCAGGAGCTGCAGAGGCTTGTACCACAGGGAGGTGCCGATGAGCCAGAGGGGGCCTGTCGCTCTGCCAGGACTCAGGGGCCCCCTGCCACGGAGGGGAGGCAGAAGGCTGTTCCCCAGGGGTTGTAGGACAGGTCAGTAACCCAGCTGTGCGGCAGGGAGAAGCAGCCCCCTAATCCCCTTGCCCAGGTGACTCCAGTCAGGCCCCCGAGGAAGGAGTAGGGAGGGGGCCTGGTTTAGCCGCTCACCCCACTAACCGCTCTGTTCGCCACAGCACAACACGGGGCTCCAGCCTGGGACCCATTTCCCCTGAGCTGTCACCCCCCCCCCCGCACTCCCTTTTGAAATGCCCCACCCAGGAGAACCCTGCCCTGCCCCAGGCCCTGCAGCCCAAGCCCTACTGAGATGTAGGCACCGCCCCATGGTGTGAAGAAGGGCACAGCAGTCCCGTCTCCCCCCCCCCAGCTCAGCATGGCAGCGCTGTGAGCTGGAGCTAGGAGAACCCCTGGGGCACAGAGCAGGGGTCAGACCCTGGTGCAGCACAGACGGCCCCCAACAGGAGTGACAGTGCAGGGGCTCATGCTAGCCAAATAGCTCGTCCCAGGGAGGCAGGGCTGGGGCAGGACTGACAGCCAGAGGGGACCATGCAGCGCCGGGGGCAGGAGAGGACAGAGGATCGGCCCCAGGCCGAGCTGTGTGTGGGGGGGGGAGGAATGGCTGAGAGCTGATCCAGCCCCCTCCGATCATCTCCACCTAGCACAGCCTGCAGCCAAGAGCCTGACCCCAGGCACGGCCAGAGGGGGGCAGCTCCCGTCCCCGCAGTCCCCAGCCGGCAGAGGAGGAGAACGCCGGCCCCCGTTTTACATTCATGCGGTGAGTGGCAGGGACGGATGCTCCCTGGGGGCAGGAACAGGAGTGAAGGGAACACGGGCGGCTGCGGCAGGAACAGTGGTCGTAGGGGAGATGCAGAGGGGCTGGACCCGGCAGCTGGGCTCTGGGGGAGGGAGCAGGGGGTGGGCCGCGGCCCATAAAGCAGAGACAGACGTGTGCGGAGCCCAGGGGCGTGGGGCAGCCTTGGCCAACGCCTGCATACAGCCCCGGGCCAGAGAGACACGGTGCAGCTCGCCCAGGGTGGAGCCTGTGCTGCCCAGCTGGAATTTCAAGCCCAGCAGGTCCATGCCCCGGTTGAACGCACTGCAGAGCCAAGGGCAACCTGTGCTGCCCGGGCTCCCACCTCCAGGGCGAGGCTCCGAGTTTGGGCGGAGACACCCCAGGTTGAGTGGCACCTGGACTGGGGTAGGGGGCCCCGGTGGCTAACGCAGCCCTGGCACCAAGGGGAGAGGCCAGGGGTGAGCCAGCGTGTCCCAGGGGCCTCCCCTAGCAGCGGGAGGGGAGCTGGCGCCACACGCTGGCCGTTCAGCAGCTACCCGTGCCCCTTGCCCTGCCCCACCTGTCAGCAGCTGAGCCGGGCTCAGAGAAGCCCAAGAGCTCCTCCTGGGAGAGTGAGGCAGGAAGCGATGCCTCGGCCGGGGGCTCCGGATACAAGGGGAGAGTGAGGCCAGGAGACGAGGCTGGAGCGCCAGGGCCCCCCCGAGCCCCTACTTGTCTATGAGCCCGGCCTCCTTGAGCTTGAAGTAGAAGAACTTCTCGAGGGTGTTGGCGCACTTGCAGTAGTCGCTGTCGGGTGGGTTGTACTCCCGGCAGTTGGTGATGATGCGCTGCAGGTCGGCGATGAAGAGCTTCTTGGTGACGTAGTAGCGATTCTTCAGGCGCTCGGTCATGGTCTTCAGGTCTGCGGGGGGCAGTGATCAGCGCACGGCTGGCTAGGTCCCCCCCCACACCTCGGGTCCCAGCGCCCTCAGCGGGGAAATGGGGGTGCAGCAAGTCAGTGACGGAGCCAGGAACAGAACCCAGGAGTCCGGGCTCCCCACCTCTGCGCTGGCCACTAGAATCCCCTGTACCCCTGTGTGATGAACTGGGACTGTTCTTACTGTGGTCTGTGAATGCTGACAGGGGAGGGTGGCTAGGATAGTCTGCATTGGGGGATGGGAGACTGACCGGGAGAATACCTGAGCATGTAACATGGGAACCCAGGAAGGGGTTAGAGGCCAGGTGACACCTTTGCCCGGGAAACTGAACAAAGGAGAGGGCAGAACCCAGCCCCCCTCCAGCCACTAGATTTCACTTCCCTCCCAGAGGCGAAATAGGACCCAGGAGTCTGGTCCCCCACTGCCAATGTATACGCCACACAGCCCATGCTCACCCCACTCCCCAGGGCGTGCGGCCCTCCCGGTGCCGCGTGGGTCTCGGGCAGATCGGCCACCTACCAATGGGGAAGCGAATGATCTCATAGTAATCAGGGGCCTCAGACTTCTTCACGGGCTCCATGAAGGGCCAGGCGCTGGGGTGCGTCTGTGGGGGGCAAGGGGCAGTCAGAGACTCACACATAGGGGACAGCTTGGACTCCCCTCCTGCTGCACAGCCAGTCCCCCTTCCAGAACCAGGCCCGGGCGGTGCGTGGCTCCTGGCCCCCACCCTGAGCACGGGGAGCTCAGACAGAGCGAGATGCCCTGGGCTCAGGGGCCACGGATCGGAACCAGCTGCTGGCCCCAGACACCCCATGGAGCTGGGAGAACCTGCCCAGAGCCCCCAGTTGGCGACTGGCTTGTGCCCAGACGTGGAGGCTCTAATGGACCCACTTCAGCTCTCGCTACCCAGCGAGGTCTTGGCCTCCAGCAGCTCTCGGTGCCCAGAGGGAGCTGCCCCCCATGCCCCGTCACCTTGATTTGGGCCAGGAGGTTTTTCAAGGTGTTGTACAGCTGGTCTGGGTCCTTGAGCTCCTTCCTGCAGGAGAAAGGGTCAGATGAGGTCAGCACCCACTGCGTTTGTCCCCTCCCAGCACCTGTAGGTGAGCGGGCACCAAGCTCTCGTGGCTGGGCGAGCCCCTGGCCCTCCCTCCTGGGCAGCCTGCTCTAGGGCACTCAGGACACGCTGCCTCCGTGCTGGGGGCAGCAGCCCGCCAGGGACAGAGCCACACGAGGGATCCCCGGGGCAGCGTGACCAGCCCCAGACCACATGCATCATGGCTGCTCTCACACAGCTATGGCCCAGACGCCCCAAGGATGCTGCTGCCTCGAGATCTGGCAGCCTGGGGGACCCAGCTGGGATGCTGAGAATGGATTACAGCTACGTGCCATCCCTGCACTGTCGGCCAGGCCAGGGAGCCAGCAATCGCCCCTTTTGGCCTGGGCTGCTGACAGGGGTGGGATATCACACCTGTGCCGCTGCTCCCCCCGCACTCAGTAGCCCGGTGAGCTCCCCGGGCCAGCGGCGACGGACGCAGGGCTGGAAACAGCACTTACCCTTTCTCCTTCCCCAGCGGCCGCCATCCCGTGTCTCCTGGAAGGCAGGAAGAGGCGTTGGCTCACATGCCATCCACCGAGTCCCAATCCCCTCCCCAAGCGCAGTCCCTGGGCAGCACTCTGCCTCCGCGACCCCCAAGCTGCTCGACCCAGCCCTCCAGAACCTGGCTGTGAGGGCCACGACCACCCCTCCGCTGCCCCCGGAACGCACTGCTCCACGGAGACGTGCCCGGAGCTGTACTGGTCCGGCACAGAGCCGAGGCTGGGATGCACAGATCAGAGCCACTGCAGAGCCATTCGACCCCTCTGCTCTGTCCTGATGCGCCTGCTTTTGTTACTCCATTAAGGGCGGAGCCAGCCGCTGCCCAGCCTCACCCCCCAGTACAAGGGCACCGCTCCCTGGACGTCTCAGCCCAGACCCGGACCCTTCGGATGCTGCACACCGCAGAGGATAGCGCAGTGGCACAGCCTGGCCACGAGGTGGCAGCAGCACTGCCCGCAGCGAAGGTGACACCGGCTGCCTACAGGTGTGGCGGTGGTGCAGCGCACAGGCGCTAGGGGCATAGCTACAGCCGCAGGGACAGGCTCCGGGGGGCAGGGGTAGCGGTCAGAGCCCTGCCCTGCTGCCGGGGCGGCAGAGGTTTGTGGCCCAAACTTACTGATCCCAGGGATGCTCTCGACGGGGATCTGCCGCACGCCCTCCTTGAAGCAGGTCAAGCCCGGGTAGACCTTGCGGATCTGCGCCTGCTTCCTCTCGATCAGCTTCTTGATGATCTGCAGTGGGAACGGCAGAGGCTAGAAGCGAGCGGGGGAAGGCCCGGCGAGGGCAGAGTCTGGCTGGCCCAGGCCCGCTCCCCTCACTCTCAGGCCTTCGCGGGGGAGCCGGGCGCAGGGCCATGCCTGCGGGACCTGAAGGCTGCCTTGTGCCCAGGGGCAGGGAAGCAGTGCTTGCCCAGGGCTAGCTGGAGCAAGGCAGCAGCTCCGGGTGGCTGGTTCGGGTCTGAACGGAGGCGGGTGCTGTGTCGCGGCCGGACGCTGGCCTGGAGGAACTGGACCAGGACTAGCACGCACATGGCAAAGCCGTGCTGGGAGCTGCGTGGGCCATGGAGACAGGGCCCAAGAGGGGCGCTCCCAAGCCAGCAGCCTCCTGGGACAGCAGCGTTGCCCCTTTCCCTGCACTAGCGTCAAGGTGATACGGCAGCGCGGGCGTGGCTGGCGCAAGGAGCCAGGCTGAGCGGAAACCCCCCCCCCCAGGAGATACCTCCTTCTGCTTCTTGATGATGTGCGAGAGCTCGGTGTAGGGGATGCGGGGGTTGAGCTCACACTCCATCAGCGTCGCCCCTTCGTAGTCCTTGATGTAGCCCAGGTAGCGGCCCTTGGGCACTTTGATGTCCTTGGAGAAGCCCTGGAAAGGAAGAGGGGTTGTGAGAGCGAGCGACACCACGGTGGGGGGGGGGGGGGGG